CATCACTAAACAGACCCACGTGTGTGTGACAGTATTTTATTTCTGGGTCTCCTTTTTGCATTTCGCATACATAATAAAGTGATTGTTCATGCATAACCATGGTAGTAGTTTAAACACATTGTCACTATGTAAATATCACTGTTATATTCAGTGTTTTGAGTTACCAGTGGATTTATGTCTAATATAAAGGGGTCATATTATAAGCAATCACATTTTACTTGATTTGTTGTAGCAAAAGAGTTCAGCGTATTATGAAAACAACTTTCAGTACTCAAAACTCCACCCAAGGTCTAAAAAGTAATTTTTGTAAGGTTCCTGATCATTTCAGTCTGATCAGGACATTTCCGTTTAAATGCCACATTTTCAAATATACAGGATTAAAAAGGCTTAAAAAAACAACGATAATATAGGTTGAATTCAGATCAATTGGGACACTTGTATAAGTGTTAAAGTTGCTGTACATTTTGTGAAGTTACTTTTAAATATATCATATCATTCATATGTGTTGCATTACATCTACAGGTTATACAGTATGGAATATACTGATCGATAACAATTACATAATTATGTAAATCATACTGCATTGGAAATACTTTGACATATTGCTTTCATCCTAACTTCCATATCCGTCATCGGTCAAACATGTCAGACATGTGATAAGCAAGGCCTTATGGACTTCTCAGAAATTTTGATTCACAGATAAACAAACGCAAGTGAATGCTGGCATGAAAACACAATTATAAACTGAAATGTTGGTCTATATGTTTGTCTGGCAAGAAACCTGATGAAATATCTCTAACAAAGTATGTGAACCTATTTTCCTTTGTTCTTTAAAATCCTCTGACAAGATGCTTTGTTGTATCTTGCTTTTACACAATCACCAAATCGTCTGGATTTGAGGGCAAAGCTCTCTGTCGTTCTCCTAAATCTATCCCGAGAGAGAGAGCCAAACTGGTGTTTTGTATTCTCTCAGAGTCTGCTGCTTGGTGGAGTTTTTCCTGAGAAATGTATACATTGTACCAACAAGATAATGAAATCAGATGTGTCAGTCCTGCAGCAATAATCCTTGGAGATTTTTCAAAGTTTCTGATCATCAACATGGTTGACCTGAATCACTGAATCATTAAAACACGAACCTGCTCTGAACCATGCAATGTTACTCTTCTCTGACCATGTTTACATGCACATTAAATATCATAATTTGTTCATATTGTTGTTATGTTAACGTTAAGTGTTAAACTGATTTTCATTAACCAGTTATGCCAATATTCTGGTTTCTAGAAATCTGAATAAGACAGCTGTCATGTACTAGTGTTAATCTGAATTATTTGTCAATTAAAAACACTAAAGTAATGCTGAATGCTACAGTGTTTGTGAAAAAGTTATAGAAGAAATAGTTTTTGAGCTTTGTACAAACATTAAAGCTACATTTTGTTATTTTAGTATTAACAAACAGAATGAGAAAAAGGTTTTCCCTGCCCCATCTGCAATTGGTCAGACAAATAGATAACTCACACTACTGGTTGAGCCAGCGTTGCTACAGTATGTTAGACAAAACAAAGCAATGTTATGATGAGTCACAGTGTTACACTTTTTATAGAAATCAAACTGCAAATGGTTTACTTATAGTTGTCGCTACACATTAAGCTGGAATATGAGGATGTTTTAACATTTTGTTTTAGCATTAAAATTACACATTTCAGCCTTTAAAGAAAGGAATATAAATCAATATACAGACAGCTGAAAGCACTGCAAGTCTTATGACCTACATTTTACAACTCATTGCATTTTTGTATGCTATTGTCAAAGACATGAATGAGAATTAATGAGTTGACTAAATTACTGTGAACTACTGTGATGTAAATCACTGTACTACTAACACTGAATTGAAATAAGTCACAAGAGCAAGCAAATAGCTGGAAAGAACATACATGTCCTGCTCCATGCATGCTGATTATGTTTGTTTGTAAGGCTGATCGCATGCAGACATGAATATTCCTAAACAGCTCTTTCGGAATAAAGGTATAGTCATTTATACTGTTATTTGGTGGAATTTCTTGGGTAAAATCCAGTCATAGGATTTCAGTTCAACAAGATTAGGATTGACTTCCCATGGAGATTTTGCATTGGTTTTCAAATTGGTCACACAAATTCACAACAGAAAGCTGCTTTGTTTCAAAGACTTCTGTTTGAGTTGTGCTTCATACATTGCCAAACTTTTGCTAGTTCACCCAAAAAATTAAAACTAAGTCATCATTTACTCACTCTTCTGTTGTTCTAATGCCGTTTGCCCTTCTTTCATGTTATATTTTTATTAATCTTGATTTCTTGCAACTTATGTGCTTTTTCTGGGCGAGTCGGAGTGAACTGCTGCACTAATAGAGTCTCATGAGTGCACTACTGTGCACAGAAACCAACGGCCAAGGTTAGGAATTTGGTTAAATAATACATCAAATTCCAGTTTGTTTTTCACCAAACCCTATCGTATATCCCCCGAACATTTGGAGAATATGGCACGTGTCGCATAAGATCATTCTGTGCTACTTTTCTGTCGTTTTTAACATCCTAATTCTTGTTGCTATTCACAGCCATTAAGCGCGAGCAGGACATTCCTTTAATGTCTCCTTATGTGGACTTAAAATGAAAGAAGGCAATACAGCATTAGAACGTCTTAATTTTCATTTTTGTCTCAACTATCCCTTTAAAGGCTGAACCAGAATATAGATCTTAATCGGACAATGATGTGTATGTAAACATGGTCACTGTGGTGAAATATATTGGTGAATATGTTCAAGAACAAGCTCGTGTCTCATTACACTCCCCACTGCGTGTACCTTCGTCCTCTCCCAGCCGAGTCATGATATTAGTTCCCAGAGCTTTCCACCAAGGGGTCGGCGCCCCTTCAGAGCGGCATTATTGCCTCAGTAAGGATTACAAAAGAGCAGGACAATGGATTTATGGACATTGATTGCACTACTGCTTGGCTACGGCACGGGCAGCTCAAAGATAGTGCGCGAGGGGAAAGAGGTGTAAACAAAGGCCTAGTGGAGGGCCCCACAGTCTGACAAATTTCCTGCATTGAACATTGAAGGCGCGTCACCTTGACTACCAGCCTGTCACCGCAGAAGGAACAGCCGTGGCCTTAAGCAAGACAACCTGCCTGGACCGCGGGAAAAACAAGTGTCTTAGCTGTATCTTACCCTCTGAAAGACTTACATACACGCATGTACACACCACCTCTACTCTGGTCCCTCCTGGCTGGCTTTCTTCAAGTGTTATTGACAGTGTGGCTGTGGCCTAAGAAGATCAATTTTTAGCACTTGTCACAACCAAAGAAAGCCAAGTAAATCAGCCAAACGAAACCAAAGAGGCGAATAGAGACAAAAAGGAAGTGACCTCATAACACCCGAGCACCACCATCCTGAATGGTAAATCATATTGAGGCGATACGCAACCCTGTTTCCACCCTTCCTCGCTTCACACCAAAAGGGGCAACAATGGATTCTTAATGAAAATCAGCAGGCAGAACACAGGAACACAGACGCCGACGCTGATTGCCATCAATTTCCCATTTGCAGTCACGAGGAGAAAAAACGAGCTGTGTTTGCATATCTGATTATTGCATAAATCAGATCTTGATTTTTCATTTGGAAATCCTTCAGGAAAACGAGAAAAACAGCAAAACAAACCAAATGCAGACAAACAAAAGCGGTGGTGTAGGCGAAGTGTAACGAGCCCCTTCAACTTAATGTGCTTTGGGTTTCTATCAGTTAAGCTGTTTGCCCTCAGCAAACTTCAGAGCTTTTTAATCCAGTTTTCATGGTTTCCTGTCATATAATTTAGTTTTTTTAAAGCCCCTATATTTCCGTTCCACTAGCTGCACCAAACAAAACTGCAAAAATAGCTTGATTTGAATATTTTCTGAAAAAAAAAAAAATATGAGTGGTATTTGCCTGTGCAAATTTGCCACCACAATGCTTTGGTTATTATGCAGTTGCTATGCGGTTGCTGGGCTGTTCACTTTCTGATCTCATACTGGCCCTACTAATGTTTCCAAACAGGTTTCACAAGCACTTCTACTGCTCCCCGTCTGCCATTGGTCTGACAGAACAGATAGCCACGCCCCAAGCTCACTCCATTGGTTGAGCTGCTGTTGCTGTGTGCTTCTGGTCTAGATTCTTAAACAAACAGAGCAAAGTTTTGAAAGCGCCTCACAGTGTTTACATTTTTCAACATACAAATGGCTTACTTATAGTTGTCTCTGTATATTAAGCTGAGTTAAAAGCATATTAACTGAATAAATTTACATCAGCTTTGAGTGCTGCTGAGCTCTGACTCACCTCAGCAGTGATCTAGTTTTGATTTGTTGCTCATGCTATTGTTGCTTCTCTCTGCTAGCTGTGAAGCTTTTGTCACTGCCTGTCTTGAGACTGTATGAAGTTTACGAGGTCTCTTTTATAGAGCTCTGTCTCACAGGATGACATATACATGGCATCCTGACTTCTGCTTTGTAGCACACAGCAGATCAAAGAAGCAGCTTCTCCATTTTATTTTTACTTTCACATCCTCTCTGTTGTAGTCTGCTTGTATTAGATTCGCAGTTGCACTTTGGTGTTATCAAGGTATCAAACTCCACAGCAAGAGTGGGAGCTGAGACAAGTCCCAACATCTTTCTTGAACCTCATCATATCAAACACATATCATATATTTCTGGTCAACTCTGTTAAAACATGTACATTGCTGCCTAAGGGTCAAGGTTTGTGTCCCAAACAACGCAGTATACACTATGCACTTATACTCTGCACTATGCACTCTCTACCATCTATTGAAGTCCCTCCTCCTTTGGTACACAGGAAAAGATGCAACAGCTGAGTGCATGAAGTGTCTGTTATTTGGACCCTTTCTTTACTTTCTTATAGACCTCCTTGATTGTAGCAGTCAACATTTTGTACAGCAGCAGTGCATCTAAAACTTTTCTCTCTCCTTCTCTCTCTGTGCAGGAGGAACAAAACCGAGGCAAACCCAACTGGGAGCATCTGAATGAGGACCTCCATGTGCTCATCACGGTGGAGGACGCCCAGAACCGGGCTGAGATCAAGCTTAAGCATGCAGTGGAGGAGGTTAACAAGCTACTCGTGCCTGCGGTGAGTACAACTGCTCTCCTTGTTACACACTCCCTTTCTCGTCATTGTAGTTGCAAAAGACTCTTGAATAGAACACATCATGCTTATTTTGGCTATCTGACGTTATATGTGTCAAAATGACAGGAAGTGGACTTTTGAAGATATATGCCATGAGCTTTGTTGAGGTTTGAAACCATTTTCACACAATAAATTGGCCCCTGCAAGCATCAGTACAGGTTCTGTTCACAGGCTATGTGTGTGTGTGAGTGACTTTATGATGTGTCTCACTGCAATGTTTAACTACTCACATCAATTGGAGTTTTTATGCACACTATTACAGTATATCCAACTCTCCAAGTGCAAATATAATATAATCATCAGCACTTGCCCTTTAAAACTGATTATCACTGATTGCTTTGTGGCAATTTAGTGGACACCTAAACAGAAACATTCCAGACAGCTTCACTCAGCAAATAAAGCTGTTTCATTTAACATAATTCATATTTGTAACAGGACAATTTATTATGACATCATGCAACAAGTATGCATGGTTCCGGGTCCATCAGACAAGCTTTTTTTAGCGACTAACCATTATATAGCACAGTAATCTTTGTTGCTTTTAGTTATTACAAAGTGATACCTATGGTTTAGTAAAGAAATGGAAGAAATGTGCCATGGTGAAAGAGATACTGGATCTTGTTTGATAATGTATTCTTATATTAGTAGTAGTATTAGTACATTTGTGTATTAGTAATGCTCTTGTATTAGTAACAGTCACAGCACATTAGAACGTGTGTGTCTATGATTGCATGCGGCCCTTAAAACATTTTCCTCTTTCGTTTCCTTTCCTTTTGGTGTCACTTGATGAGTGGGAAGTGAAACATTCTCCAAACGCTCTCCTGACAAATGGGAAGTGCTGTGCAGGGCTGGTGTGGTTGAGTAATCAGTCACTCGAAACATTCTCTAAGCTAACCCTTGCATCATTGTCATTTAACTCTGTATGAAAGGGTTGGAAGAACAGGGTCAAGTCAGCCTGTATGGTGGTAAATTAAAGTATTTTAAGTGCTAGAAATGTCAGTGAGGCAGTTGGAGTATGCAAGAATACACACTACTGTAGCTCTGTTCAGCTAAGCAGCGTTTTAAAGCATCATAGAAGTACTTCCAATCAAAAACTGTTCCAAACAGTATGCAGCTAAAGCATGAAAGTCAAGAGAAATTTTGATTGTAAATAATGTATTCTATTCAGTGCTTAAAAGGAGTGTAGGTCTAATTAATTTTGACTATTTTTGTTATCATTAGTCTACTGAATCATTAGCGTATGCTAATAGAAATATGCTAATGATAATGGAATCCATTTTTTTCATGCGTGTTGGATTAGTATGTGAGTGATGTGTGTGAATAAACATAAATGATGCTTTCTTATGTATCTGCATATATAAACAGTATACTGTGAAGGCAGTTGAGTTAATGTACCTGACATGGATAGATAATAATACACAGCAAATGTTGAGCTTATGGATTCCAGGGATAACATTCTATTATTCTCTAACATTAGTGTTTTAGGTCTTATGAGGTCACAGGACCTTAAAAGCCAAGTCATGTGATGAGGAAGTAAGTGCATTAAGGTCACAGTCTTTAGTTTATACAGTACGAACTGTTGTAGACAGATTCCAGAGCTCTGAGAGTTTACTAATGACTACTGCATGACCAGTGAGTCCTACCTCAATTATTTCATTAGCCGTTGGGCATTCATGAAGTGCTGAGAATTCAGATGCTTACAGATGCTGCTTACTCTGTTCGTGCTGCATTGTTGCAAAATGTACCGTAGTTTCTGAAAAAAATACTGTAGTTATGAGTAGAGTGCTTCCGCACAATCCATGAGGGATAAAAATTGGCGCTTACAGAAACTGTTATTTTGGTCAGCCTAGCCTAAAATGTTCCTTTCTTTTGCCCTGCTGTCCTGTCAACTTTCAAGCATATGACTGATTGTTTTTGCTCTTGTGCTGTCTGTGTATATACGTGTATGCCACATTACAAATTTTTGTGGTATAAATGGTGCTTATGATGTGGCTTCCTTGCAGTGTTAACATTATGGGGCCTATAACTGTATTTTGGTCAGAATTGTGGTGTAGTGCAATGGTTCTCAACCCTGGCTTGGAGTACCCTTAACAGTACTCATTTTGGACGTCTCTTTTATCTGACACAGTCATATCATGTCTTTGTGTCTTTATTAATGAGCTGATTTGTATATTCAGGTGAGTTTGATTAGGGAAACATACAAAATGTGCAGAGTTGGGGGTACTTCAGGACAAGGGTTAAGAATTAGTTGAGAATAGTGGGGTAGTATATGTGCTAATGACATGACAATGACAACAGGGGTGGCCAACAGTCCAGGAGTGCCACAGTCCTGCAGAGTTTAGCTCCAACCTTGATAAAAACCCACCTGCCTTGATTAGCTTGTTCAGGTGTGTTTGATTAAGGTTGGAGCAAAACTCTGTAGGAAGTTAGCCACCTCTAACATACAAGAGCTACTGGCTCACACCCTGGGTCAGAGGTCTCCAACCCTGCTCTTGGGGAGGTAACTTCCTGCAGACCCCAGTTCCAACCCTGCTCCAATATACCTTCTTGTAGCTTTCAAGTTACCTTAAATGCCATGATTAACTGGTTCAGGTATATATGATTAGGATTGGAGTTGAACTGGAGCTGAAAGGCACATAAATGCAAACAAGAATAAATGCTACGAGAATAATTTTTGTGCGCAAAGAAAACAAAAATAACGACTTGTTATGTTACTCTCGTGAATGGCGGCAGACTGACCCGGAAGATATTAAACCGTTGAATAAAGTTGTTATTTTTGTTTTCATTGCGCACAAAAAGTGTTCTCATAGCTTCATAACATTACGGTTGAACCACTGATGTCACATGGACTATTTTAACAATGTCCTTACTACATTTCTGGGTCTTGACCATGGTAGTTGCGTTGTTGTCTATGCAGGGTCAGAAAGCTCTGGAATTTCATCAAAAACATCTTAATTTGTGTTCTGAAGATGAACAAAGGTCTTACGGGTTTAGAATGAAATGAGGGCGAGTAATTAGTGACAGAATTTTCGTTTTTGGGTGAACTAACCCTTTAAAATATGACCACTGACAGTGCGAGTTAAAGACTTTCATGTCAAGTTTCAGAGATACCATATGATGTGGCCACCGGAGGAAAGATGATATGTTATTGCTTCAGTTGGCTGTCATGGCAACACCTTCAATAAGCTCAGTGAGAACAGTCACACCTCCCCAATCAGTGGACCTACACTTTGGGTCTCAGAGTGGACACAGTCTACAGCTACTACTGCGACAACAGCATAACATTTAACCTGATCCTTCATCTAAGAGCAATTCCCTTGTCTGGCAGCTAACTCCCAGACGGCCCACAGAGAGGCCGCCCCTTCCTTATCAATCCTGCTGCTGTGTATGATGTCCGACAGTACCCTCCCACATCCCATGGTAAAATCCATTAGCACCTCTGTGTTTGCCTACGGGGACTTTTCTCTGTCAAATAAATGGAAGGAGGGATTTTTTCCTTTCTGTTTGTGCTAAGATAACGGCCACTAGTGTTCTGCTCCAACTTCCGTAAAGATCTTTATAATCCCTGCTGAAATTTGCATACTGATTGATCGCATCTTGTGGCATTTGAGCTGCACTCTGCTTCTCCTCATGTGGGTGGGGCTAGCAGCGCACCATTGGTGTTTGTGGAAAATGTCAACAAAATATATATCAGACCATTCCCATAGTGAACTGAGATGCATTATAACTAGGGCTGTCATCATTAAACTGTAGTAGATATATGCAGTCAGCAGGCGATTGTTTTTTTGGCATCTCCATGTGGTCCTGTTCGGTATCGCAACTTGACTTCTAAAATGTAAAAAAAAGCTCTTTGCTGTTGCACTGTACACATACTGTAAAATTCAGATTTTTTTTTTTCTTTCACAATGTGCTTATATGGGCTCCTTATATCATTTGGTTCTTTGGTGTCCTTTTGGAGTTTCCTTTTGGAGTGTTTGGAGTGTTTGGAAAGACATCTAAATTTATATTGAAAAAAGCTTGCAGAAAATACAGATTTTTGAGAATCCCCCTTCAATCTTTTGGTTTACTTTGCTGGATATAGCAAATGATGACAAAATAAA